AGTGACTCCCGAAGTCTTGCTCATTCCGGTGCTTTCCTCAGTTTTCCCTGTTTCAAAACACAGTAAATATGGACCATCCAGAGAAGCTTTGTCTTAGGCCACAGTCAGGAACTCTGCACGGGTTCTGATCCTCCTGGAGCCCTGAAGTCACACCACTTATCTCACGTATGTAAGCCTTTGCCGTACACTCGTTGGGGAGACCCCGATACTACCCGGTGGGCCAGTGTGAGCTGTAGGTAACCTCTCACGACACAGCAAAGCTGAGTCGCTGGCCTTGTCAGGTTTCACTGGGAAGTGCTGTACCCATCTGCCTCCCTTCTCCGCGGTCTGAGGCTGCTCCTCTGCCCTCGGTGAGAACTGCTTTCACGTGTAAGGGAGAGTTCGTGACAGGACTGCGCCTGCAGGATGTCCGCGTTGTCAGTACCCACTGCTTCTCTTTCAGCTCAATTTCCGATGGTTCCTCCAGTTGCAGGTCACAAGCAGGACACCCGTGAGGTTTCTGCAGAGGTCAGCTGGCTCACGTCAGACACTTACCTTCAGCAGACAAACCCTTCTGCCCAGGGGGCCCTTCCCAGAAGGCTTGTAACCAACCACAGCACCCTTTCCTGGGAATCCGTGGCAGCTTCTCTCAGGTTGGGGGACAGACACACAATTTCTAAGTCAAAAAGCAGCACTTGCTGGGCATGTTGGCACACACCTGTAATCCCAGCACTTGGGAGGCTGACGCAGGAGGATCTCTCTGAGTTTGAAGGCAGCCTGGGCTACATAGTGAGTTCAAGGCCACCCTGAACTAGAGTGAGATCCTGTCTCAAAAAACAAAATAAAACAGAACAAAACAAAAAACAAGCAGTACTTGCCAAAGAGCAGTGTGAATCAGGAGACTCCTTTGCTCAAAGATGGAGAGTACATTCTGGGAAACTGAGGCAAGAAGACCACAAGTGCAAGCCTAGCCTGGGTAGGTAATCAAGAATGTGTCTCAAAGCCCAGAGCAAAGGCCCTGGGGTCAATCTCCAATAAAGTCAAAGGGGGAGGGAGGAATACAGAATGGCAAAAAAGTAAGGGAAACACATTAGGCAATGATCAAGGCACCCAGAAATCACTCTTGGCCACCAGGCAGGAAAGCTAGACACCCGCTGCTCAGCACGAAGAGCACCGCGCCATCTGGTGTGTGTAGCAGGCCTGTGGCTCGCAAGCACGTACTGTGCACACCTGTATGAACAGACCAAACCTGGAAGTGTTGAGAATACTCATCCAGGTGAGTCACAAACAGTAAAATCAAACATTAGCAAGGATCCACCCACTACCCTGTTGCAGCTGCGTGAAGGAGGTCTGTCCCCAGCCAGTCCCTGGAGGCAGAAGACTGGGCCTCCTACAGTGACAGAGGAGAAGGGCACCAGCTGGGTGTCAGGGGGTCAGGAAATAAGGCTTAAACGCTTAGTGGGGGTTCATTTTAAACTGAAGCAATCAGTGCAAAAGAAATCTTTAGTATCCTGACCGCTGCTCATTTGGAGTAACCAAAGCCAAACTCGGCACAGAAACCACCGACATGGACCAGGAGCTGCATTTTCTAACAGCAAACTTGGCTGGCATTTACACCAAGAAACCAATCCCCATCAGCAGAGGAAACACCCACATAATAAATGTGGGTGAGCATGTTTTATTGTTATAAAGTGATTAAGCCAGGGGACAAGCTGTCTCCCTAAACTGAGAGATGCGCACCGTCTCTGCAGAAATGTTCGCTGAGGACAGTTTACCTGTTACAAGTGAAAGAAAAGGCTCAACTGCAGAGGGTGTTCACACCTGACACCCAGCAGGGCTGCTTGCCCTGCACCAGCCCCTCCCCACCTCATGCTGAGCCCAACATCAGGCGGCTTCTGCGCCCAGGGCCACCGCCACAGCACTGTTGGGTTCCCTCCAGCTTGAAATGACTCCTGTTAAGTCTGGCTTGTATTTTGTCCAAATATTTTACAGACTCCCATTATTTGGCTCTGAAAGTCACTGTAGTAAGGCAACCACACACAAGGAACACAGAATCCCGGATACGACTGCTTTAATTTGCTTTGCTCTTTCAGAAGCGGAATAACAGCCCTGATTTTAAAGCTCCACCGCAGACACCCACAGGAGCCTTGCCTCAGGGACTCCCAAGCTAAAAACTCCCAGACCTGCCGCCCCGGCTTCCAGAAACCTTTTCATGCACACTCCTGCCCCAGGCCAGGGAAGCCAGGGCCCCCAAGTGCAGATTGCAGATCAGTTTCTCCCATCTTAAAGTACGTGCTGGTCGGGAAATAAGGGGCATTCCAATAAATTTATTGGTAATTGAAGATGTGATTAAGACTGGAATGAAAGGAACATGGTTTAGAAGAACACAAGATAGAATCTTTGGTGGAGGCACAGTACTGGGGGTTGAACCCCTTTTTAAAGGGATTCTGCATCCCTTTAAAAAATTTCTTATTTGGGGGGTTGGGGGTTTAGCTCAGCGGCACAAGGGCCTGCCTTGCAAACAGGCGGTCGTGAGTTCGATCCCCAGTACCGATAAATAGAAAAAAAAAAAATTCTTATTTTGAGGCAAAGTCTCATTAAACTGCCTGGACTGAGCTCAAAACTGCAATCCTTCTGCTGCAGTGTCCCAGAATGCTTATATTACCATGTCCTACAAGATAGACCCATCTTTTAAAAGTTCACTCAAGGGGTGCGGTAGCGCACACACCCGTAATCCCAGCACTTGGAAGGCTGAGGCAGGATTGCTACTACTTCAAGGTCAGCCTGAACTGCATAGGGAAATCTTGTCTCAAAAAAAACTAGAAATGCCTGGTGCCACAAACAAGAAACTTAAATGAGAAATACAAGCCTCAGGAACTGAGAGTTGGGGACAGGGAACATCACGTTAGGTTTGTGGGACAGAGACCTAGAATTGAGGCTGTTACATTCAACATAGAACCTAAATTGCTCCCTAACCCTTACACTAACCAGAAAACCACCCTCTAGCCAGGAAGGGTGCTCGGGGCAGCACGTGAAAACTGTGAAGCACAGAGAACATCCACGCACAATATTCATCACAGATTTGTCCTACAAGGTAAAGGGGTGCCGGGTTCCACCCAGCTAAATCCCCAGGACTTAAGCAAACTCTTCCCCTGGAGAGACCCATGGAAACCCTGAGGCTCAGATCCTTCACAAAACAAGAAGAAACCCTCCCCGTGGCTCTGCTCAACATCCTGAGAATCCAAGAAGAAGCAAACCATTAGACAGAGTCAGCAAGAAAAAAATTAACATCCCTAAGAAAATCAAGAAAACAATACTGACCTAACTTACATGGTTCTTAAAAGAAACAGAAACTGGTAAAGGCAGGAGGGCTGCTGGTCCATCCTGGCTGGACAGCCAGTGAGGCCTGGTGCCCGAAGTCACGGACTAGTAAGGAGGCCAGGGCTCGGCTCAGGCTCACCGCTCAACCAATACCACCCCACATCTGGAGAGGTGAGGCCGACCAAGCAAACGGACACTCAGAAAGAAAGAAGCACCTGAAAACAGTTCAAGACAACTTTGGGAAGTTACTGCAACTAGAAACTCAGCAGCCTGGACACCTGGCAGGGCAGACAGGGCTAAGCACACAATGAGCGAAATAAATATGAAGGAATTACGAAAAAGATAGCACAGAGAAATCTAGAGCATACAGAAGAGGACAGGCTCAACAGAAGTCTAAAATATATCTCACACAGAAGCACACAGATAAAATTCAACAAAAGAATATTAGAATCCTCTTAGGAACGTGAGACCTGAATAAGAAACATTAAAAATATGGTAAATGTTGGCTAGGGAAGACATCTGCTATCAAACAGTGAAATATTGAAGAATATTATATATATATTCTCCGGGTCCAGGTGCGAGCCTCTCAGAAAACTGCAATGCAATGTGAAGTCTGTCTCAGTCTCAATGGACACAGCGACCACAGCCAGGGCTCCATGGGTCTCAAACACCACCGTCAGGGAAGGTCTCAATTCTAAACGTCACCAGGTGCACACTGCTCTCCTGCACTACCTATACTGCCAATTGTCTTAACGCCTAATTACAGTGCTGGCTTTTATTCCCTAATTTCCCTAGCAATACAGCACCTAGAGTATATTTTGATGACAAGAGCCCCATCTTGTGGCAAAAAGTCTCAGAACAAGTCTGGCTGTCTACTGTATTGCTGTTCTCATTCAGAAGATAAACCTGTGTTGAGAAGTTAGTTTTATCTGCTTCACCAGACAGAACTTCTAAGCCAGCATTTATCCCGTGTCTGTGACAGCGTCAGAGTGTGCAATCAGTCTGTGGAACACAGTCATCCAGGGCTCTGTTTGCCATTTTCAGGTGAAAGCTGGCAGTCTTCACACAGCTTTCTTAAGAGGAAGGCCAATGCGGGGTGGGGGTCAGTTCCCAACACATCACTGAACACTAACAGAAGGGCCCACACTCACCGTTTCCTGCAGCATGAGCTCACCTCGGGCAGGAGCCAATGACAGCCTCATTGCAGAGCCCCCAGCCCAGCATGCTTGTACTCTGCATCATTCGCAGCCACTCTAAAGGCAGCTCTTAATGTACTTCTTTATTTTGAAGAACACAAGCAGATTCTAAAACATTCTTTTCATTTTTGCTTTAATATGAATGTCTTCCCCATAATCCCTACTTAGTTTACCAGAAAAACAGTTTGAAGGCCCTATTACACCAATAAGTTAGACAATGTAATAGAACACTGAACACATCTTATTCAAAATAGCTAATGTTCAAAAACATTAGCTATTATTATGATTCCTGCTGTTATTACTGACCAAAGTACTATGGGAAAGGAGGCCAAAATAGCTTTTCACTATGGTTGTCTTTCTTAGCTATCAAAGCCTTACAGAAAAGTCCAGAGACCCTGTTTCCAAAAAACAACACAGCACATTATTTTTCATCAACAGCAAACTGGAAACAGTTTACCTCCTATCAAAATTTTAGGGTTGTAACGGTTAATAAGGACAGTAGTGTAATATTAAAAGAACATTTTATTTGTTAATGTCACATAAGAAATGTAAGCATGTTACACTATCTTTAAAAACACAACTAATGCACTTCCATAGAAACCCGTCCCTCAGCCTACCACCCCGGCCCAGCCCCACCGCCCTCAGGAATTAAGATTCTAAGAGGAATAACCATAGAACAGTACTGCGGAGTCCTTCATCCAGAGTGCTTACACGAGGATTAGGTTAATATTGCCTTCTTACAAAATGTCTTTTTCCATTTAAAAAACAAAATGAAATTTGTAACCTTGATTGCTTATTACAAAAAAATTCAGTATAAAAATTCAATATATTGAAAAATGCTTCCCCTCCCTCACAGCACCGTTATGTAGAGCAGAGAATAGTCAAGAGCAGATTGCTAACCCGGATGGAGCAATCTTCAATGTATACCCAGACACACAGTGGTTTATTTACCCCTCTTCTAGTAAGAACTTAAAAAACAGAAAATACGTACACACTTACAAAAAAAGCCAAAAAAATTTGAGGAACCCTTTCCAAACAACAGTTAAGTTCAGTGTCAATAATTCACATCTTGCAACAAAGTGTATGGGTATGATTTCTTTACAAAACTTTCAGTGTCAAAAAGGAAATTAAGGCCATCAGATTCGCAGCTTAAAAATTCACAGAAAGGAAATATAAAAATAGTCTGTGCTTCTGAGAAGGCTCTGCACTGTATACAGTAAGGATTACCACACTGAGGAAGACAGCTGCCTTGAAGTTCACATAATCGCACAGCTTCTGTTGGATGCTCTTGGGGTTCCCTGGTGAGAGAAAAGAAACAATGACTGCTAAGAAGATGGACTGCAGTATTCTAAATGAGACGAAATCCTCTAAGGAGGGGCACACTGCAAATCCATACAGCTAACTCACACAGGCCCTTATCACTCCTCCTGTAGCCCTTTTAAACCTTCTCTTAGGGACCTCATCCCTACAGTGCTTCAGCAAATCCCAGAACAGTGATTCTCAACTCTGCACACAAGGGAAGGGGAGCGCAGAGCGGGCTGGAGGGACACAGCTCGATCCAGGTCCTAAATCAACTGAATGAGAATTTCTCATTTAACTAGGGAAGAACCTCTGTATCTACATGATTGTAAGATAATTCCAATATGCAGCTAGATTTGGAAACCACTGTCCAAGGACTTCCTCTTCTTGTCTGAAACCTGAGGACGAGTTGACTCCACATTCAGCAACATCAGAGCCCCTGGCTTGCTGCATCCAGAATGGTCACTTCCCAGCACATGTGCATTAGATTTGTCTTTAAACGAAATCAAAGATTCCACTGTTGGTTTCTGTATGACCCGTTAATTCCTTACAACCTCACAACACGATCTGGGACTCATCACTAAGCAGACTACAATGGTTTCTTGAAACACACTAAAAAGTGCTAATCAATCCCGGAGACCACTGACTCGCCCTCCACTCCAGAGCCACAAGGGCTGTTCTGCCCTTCATCTTCCTGCTTCTAACCTTCGCGATCACACAGGATTTACAAAAACCTCATACACATCTGCTTTCTTTCCTGTGTTGAGCCCTCAGGTTTTATCACTTTCACTAATGAATATTCTTCCTGAATGTAATCTCCCTTCAAGGGTCAGTCCTGGATTCAGCAAGCCCAATGCTATATTCTACAATTTGAGTCTCAACTTGTCCGAACTACACAGAAGCTGTGTGCTAGGCATTCTGGAGACTGAGAGAGCCTCACATAAACCTGACACTCTTCACTGTATGGATACGCTTGATGCCTGCATCTTGACGCGGCCTGTAGTGAATTAAAAATCATCATAAAGCCTTCCCTACTCCCTCCATCAAGAGGTGGAGACTGCCTTTGCTTACTCTTGGCTGGCTCCATAGCTGTGACTGAGAACATGGAGGAGACACTCCACCAGCTTTCACCCTCGCTTTGAATTACCAGTGCTCTCCATTCCCACCCTCTTGGCCAGCTGCTGTGATATGGAACCTCCAACTTGGGCTGACCTACTGAACTAGCAGGCACACACAAACAGGCCTAGAGCACAGCTGAATCCAACAATGGCAGGAACTTTACCTCTGCCAGGAGCAGAAGAGCTTCGCAGCTGAGCCCAATCAAACCCCAGCCCATGGGGGGCTTCACTGTTCTGAAGTCCCTAGGGTTGGGGTAGCCAATCAATAATTTGGAAACAGATACTTCACTCAGATTACTACTGCCTGTCTTCTCTGTAATACTCAACTTCCCAGCCTTCAAAGTACTGGACAAGCACCACTGCTCGGAGTTTGAAGCTGCACAGGTGGACTGCAGAGCCTTCTCCGGAGCCTGACCTTCCAGTGCATGTGGGTCACCTGTCCAACACCTTCACTCTTATCTAAGCCCAAAGACCGGGAGTGACATCTAGCACTTTAGGAATCTCATAATGTGACTTTTACTTCTGGTCATTATGATATTTGTCTTTAAAGGCGGGAGATAGATCATGTGCTTGTTTTTTTTTTCATTCAGCCTTTGTATCCAGTTTATTCGATCACACATTCCTGTGCATTAGAAATACAAAACCACGAGGCACTCATTAGACAGACCAGTAATGACGCTATCTCCCCTACGAAGAACTGTGCTGATGGAGGGCTGTGTGTGATTGTCGGTGTCCACCCCTCCTGCGTGGACGCAGATGGACCCAGAGGGCGTTGCTGGCTGCCCACCTGCCCCACAGGGCCCTGTGGCTCCACTGAGAGGGAGGCTGGCCTGGATCATTTTGCTTAGACTCTTCTCTTCCCTTAACACAACAGGACACACCTGCCCCAAGCAAGATGCCTGACACCCAGAACCAACCAGGTGGACAATTCCTGTGGGCTGCATGCATTCTAGAGCAGCTGTTTGTACCTCCTTCCTTAGTGGTGAAATGAGGCACATACTTTCAAACTTCCTTCCTGTACTTTAGTGTTCTTTCTTTTAAGGACACTGTCTCTGTAATGGATGCTTTTAGTCTTAACTGCTCCATCTTTTTTAGTATTTTTATTAAAAAAAAAAATCAAAACAGAAAATATGGATAGAAATGATAGAAAATTTTAAAAAATGTAAAGAATTAGCACTAGTTAATATATTGCACATTGTTATCTCAGAAGTAGCTGTTCAGATTACAAAATCTATATATAAAGTGATCAATCAAACAATAGCAGCACAATTTGAAATAACTTAATCTTGGAAGCAATCAAAATGCCCATAAACCGCAAAATGGATGAAAAAGATGTGGTATTTTCTACAGTGGAATATTACTCAGCTGTAAAAAAGGATGATCTTGATTGAGGCTGTTATAGGTAAATGGAGGCAACCTGAGACTATAACCAATCATAATTGAAATCAGACTCACATTTACAAATATTGTATTGCCTCTCTAGTGTGAAAAATTAATAATAATTATAAAAACTGAAAGGGGCTTCATCTTTGATCCCCAGCTCCTTTCTTTTCCTCGAAGGAAGCCCCAGATGGAGTGTGCACAGCGCCCTCTAAAGGCCATCTGCGGCATCCAGCTAAGTCCAGGGAGCACCCAATCAGGACCATGCAGTGAAGTGGGCGGCAGAAACGGGTGAAGGACTTTAAGATATAATCTCTTGTAGAGGAAAAAAACCTCAGACGCCTGCTGCAGCCTCTGCAGTGTATTTTCATGTGAAGCTGGACTGACCGTCCCTACATCTGAGATCCGAGAAGAGCTCTGCACTTGAGATTCCATCTTTGTACTGACAAACTCCCTCTACAGGATCGCCAGATGCTGAAGGCTCTTTTGTTCCTAACACTTTGTTTAATTTCTTTCTTTTTATTACGCACAGTTTGCTGCACATGATCTGATGTATGTACACATACCTTAGTTACTGTCATGTCTCCTCCCCCTCCCTCTTGCTTTGTGCTGGTTTCTTTTAAAGCCAAATACTATAAAGTATCTGTTCTTAAACATCCAGGTCAAAAAACCCCAAAACCAAAAAACCACCTCATTCTACTTGATCCAACCCACCTCAAATGATCCTCAAACCTGTAACATGTCCAGGAATATTTATGTAGCACAGGACTGCGTACTCACTAGCCCAAGGCAGGAGGATTCCAAGTTCAAGTCCCCAGCCTAGGAACTAGCTTTTAGAAAGGACTGAAGGTGTAGCTTAACAGCAAAACATGCACAGCACATGAGGCTGTATGTTGTCCCCAGACCACGGGGGGGCGGGGAGGGCATGACACTAGGGCTAGTGAAACAGAGCAAACTTGGATTATAAATCTGCAAACAAGCTGAACTCTTATAAGGTAGGGACAAGAACTTTGATTTAATAATCAGACTGAAGCAGCTTGAGAATACAGAATGAAAGCTCCTAAGTTATTAGTAATTCTCATACTTAAAACCAAATTTGAATCTTCTTTATTTCAAGAGCTCTCAAAAGCCTAGCCATCAGCTAAAATCTGTCTTGCAATTAGGTAATAATTAGGAACTTCATACAGCAGAAATCTGTTTCATCTTGAAGCTGAACAGTACTCTGGTGGGTTTTCCGGGCAGTACTGGAATTGAACCCGAGGTCCTCACACTGAACTGTGTATCCTCAGCCTTTTTTAAATTTTGAGACAAGGCCTTGCTAAATTGCCCAGTGTGGGCTCTAATCTGTAATCCTTCTGTCTCTCCCTCCAAGTGCTGGGATTGCAGGCATGCACCCCCCAGGATTGGCTCTCTTTGGTGTTCAATTTAAAAGCAAACACTCTCTGAGTATCTAAGCTTGTCAATCACAGAATCCAAAAGGACACACGTTCCTGGGCATGCAGTCCAATCCACATACACTAACAGAGGCAGGATACATGTCCTATGACAGTGAAAGTGAAAAGGAAACAACAGAATGAAAAAAAGAAGGAAGTATCCGCACTTTCCACCAGGAACCTACGTGAATGATCAATTTGGAAAAACGCACCAACCTGACAGATCACTGCTCTGATTCATCAGATAACGCAAGTGGGGGCATAGGATATATTCTTGTGTAATTTTTTAAATAAAAATCTACAAGTAATACCTGCTGGTGGAAAAGTTCTTTCTCAACATCCACGCCAGACGGTTCCTCCTCCTCCTCCTCCTCTTCAGGTATAGTTGTTTTAAAGACGGTACTTCTTTGTGCAACTTCCTAAAAATGATAATTGAAGTTAAAAACCACACTTAAAATCACATGACTATAGGGAAGCGGACCTTTGTTAAGAAATAGCATTCTTATATCAAAGATTTTAAAACAAAAAAAGGTATTCCATCAGTAACTTTAGCTACTGAACTGGAATTTTGCATTAATTAGTAGCAGTTCTTAAATCTGTAATTGTCCCTGCAGGGGAGCCACTGGTCCCAATCTGAAACACCTGCTGAGTGAGACGCTTCCAATGCTCTTTATTCCCTTCTGTTATTAAGAGTTCTGTGCAAATGGTTTGGCACACTGAATTCTTTATAAAACTCAACATGAATTCAGCTTAAAGATTTTAGCATCTAGCAAAGAATAGGTACTACATAAATGTTGAATAAAATGAAGCTGGAGGCCAAACACCGGGCTCTCGGGGCCATGGTGGCAACAGGAGCACCCGAGAGTGGGTGAGCTGGGAAGGACAGGCTGTTTCGTTCCATCCACAGGTGGTTGGTTCCTCTTAAAAGAAATGGAACCAAGACAGATGAGCCCTAAGTACTAATAACTACTAGTGAGGGATCAATGTATTCTGGACCCATCCTCCAAAAAATATTTTTCATTCACTAGGCTACAATAGAGACTATTTCCATTTTTCACTAAAAGACTCAAATACAGATAGATTGCCTTCCTGTAGAAAATGCTGATGTGTTAGACAAAAACAAAAAAGTTGGGGCTGGGGATTTAGCTCAGCGGCCTAAGCGCCTGCCTTACAAGCAGGCAGTCGTGAGTTCAATCCCTGGTACCGATAAAAAAGGAAAAAGACAAAAAAAAAAAAAAAAAATGCTGATGTGGCCAAGTGCAGCAGTGTTTTTGTTGAGACAAAGGCCAACCTGATGACCTGGCAGCTAGTAAATCAGTGTGTCCCAGAGCACTGCAGGCAGCTAATTTTATTCTGCGTCCTGACCTAACATCACTCAAGAAAGATGACTGCACAGTAGAAGACAAAAACATTACTTCAGCAAAGCCTATCTGAAACTTAACACAGAACAGCCAGACACAGAGCAAGGACGCTTCTTCAATCTGCCAGTGTCCCAGGATATGTTTTGCAAATAAAAGTAGGAAGGCAGGGCTTTGTGGGGATTCTGACTACTGCTGCAGGACTGGGAGGATGAGCTGTCTTGATTCTCTTAGCTAGAAACTTTAATTCTGTGAAATTGATCGGCAGCCATTTCACAAGATTCCATCTATTTTACCTTAGATAACAGTAATTAAAAAAGCATGTGCCTCCTTAGATCCATTAAAACCCACTGAATTACGGTATCAGCTGGGGGGCAGCGGCTTGTAAGTAAGAAAAGAAAGATGCGCAAGCTCTGAGAATATGCAGCCAACTTCCCTCCACTCGGCTTACGCCATGGCAGACTCAAGACACCTGGTAAGACTTGCCTGCCTGCGTGCAGCCACCCTGAAGGTTCAGGGCCACTTAGAAAACAGCAGCCTGGGCTGGGGGTGTAGCTCCGTGGTAAAGTGCTCGTTTAGAATGCACAAGGCCCCAAGTTCAATCTCCAGTAACACACACGCGCACACACACAGCAACCTGTGTGACTTCATTAAATATGACCTGCTTCAACGTTGCTTTCAGATGTAAGCCTCCTATTAAGCACGTTTCATTTGTAAACATTTAAAAACAATCTAATGCAGAAAGTCTGCATGGAAAATGAGTGAGCTAAATAGTGTCTAAAATCTGGAGAGAAATAAACAGTCATTTAGAACCAAAACATTGAGGAGTTTAGATCCAGAAAATTACTAGTCAAGATGCTAACAGGACTCCCAATCCCCGACACATACACAAAGCACCAAACTTAACCAAGTACCCAGAAATGTACACTTGGAACAGTCTCGCCTCACAGGTTTCCCCCCCATTCAATGTATTACTGGCCCTGGCCACTAACAGCACAGTAGTTTGTTTAGTACTGCACTAAGGCCAGCTGGCACCAGCTGACTGAACTCATCTCTGCAGTTCTGCGTTTTTCCTGTGCTGGAAGCCTACAACTAGCCTCAGCTGGCTATTTACACCACAGAAATCGCAATGCTATAAATCAAGGCCATTTTTTACAGATGGAAAGTTAAGTGCTATACATCTCCATATGCGCAAATAATCATTTACATATACAAAAGCTGCAGCTATTTCTCTATTCTGGAAGGCACAGAGGGACTGCTTTCTGCTTTTTTAAAGACCCTAGCACACCACCCTTTGTGCCCACATTATTGGCCCCCAGTTTCATGTGGATGCACTTCCCCCATCGTGGAGCACATGTGTGTTATAAGGAGCGAACACAACCCACACAAAGGGGAAGAAGGCCCAAGCTCTAAGCCAAACCTCCCGTTAAAGGGTACGTGAGCCAAGGTGGTACCGTAAGAGCAAAACTCAGGATGGGAACCCCATGGAGGAAGAAGCTCCTTTCCACAAAAAAGACGGGAATGATGACCCCTGGAGCAGCTGGCAGCCGCCTTACGCCCATGAGGAAGGCAACACTGGAGGGAGACAAAACAAGGCCTCGGGGACACTGTGCAAGCCACTAGATCAATTCTCTAAACTTCTGATTATGTGAACCAAAAAAATTCCTATTATTTTATAAAGCAATTTAATTGGGTTTTTTGACATTTTCAATTCTCCAACAAAAAGAAAAAAATATAAAAAACTAAACTGATTTAAGCCAATTGCCTATAACCTTACAAAAAATATAATCATTGGCGATAGCTGTAGACTAACACTAACATGGTGTGATAACTTACTAATAAACAAATGACAGGCAGAAGGCAGTAGTCATTTGTTAAAAGAATGGATAAAACAACCAAATCGTATGCAATGTTCAAATTACGAAGGGAAGTGTAAGTTTTAGGTGTGTTATGGCTTACATCTACATGGGCCCCTAGAGCCTCGTGGTCATGCTGGAGCTTTGGGAAGGTGCACTACTGTGGATTGGGGTGTGATACTGTGATGAAGGGCGATGGTACTGGATCAGTCCTTATTTGGCTTATCATAGTTTTGTGTTTGAGTAACAGGAGGCCCCACCCTGAGCGTGAGTGCACCACCCAAAAGGCTTGTAGCTTGGATGAAATGTAAGGGACAGGGAGGTTCTTGCTGCTGTTTGCGGCCTTCTGCCTGCCCTGCCGTGGACTGCTTCTCCTCAGGGATGCCCTCTGCCAGCTCCCTGCCTTAGTCAGATGACTGTGGACTGAAACTTCTACAAACTATGAGCAAAAACAACATTTCCTCATTTAACTCTTTGGTGAGTGCTTTGTCTCAGCAAACAAAGTAATGAAGACAAGATAGCTTTATTGAAAGACCTACGGTAATACTGCCTTAAAGACATATTCTGTGTCACATCTGATACTACATTTCAAGTATCCTCCTATACAACCGTTCTAATTTGGAATAACTATTTCAGAGGGAAAAAAATGGTATGGTGACTAGATTCCTAGAGCTTATTTCATCTTCGTGTATTTCTATTCAAAAGTGCTTTTGGATTTGAGCAATATTTTGAGACATATTCTGGTAATTTCATTCATTGGGGAGAGTTAATAACATAATAGCTGCAGTTAATCCCAGCATTTGGGTGGCGGCACCCACCACAGCTGAGCAGGATTCCCACCTGCTTCCTTGAGGCAAGAAGTCTGCAAGGGCTTCAGCAGAAAACAGGATGAAGGGCCCTACCTGAAGTTCATGACTTACTGAAGGCATCTATCTACCCTATCCTGACAATCAACAATGTATCTGGAGATGAATTCCTAGATCGATCCCAAAATTAAAACTGCTTGAGGGGCTGGGGATTTAGCTCAGCGGCATAAGCACCTGCCTTGCAAGTGTGTGGTCGTGAGTTTGATCCCCGGTACCGATAAAAAAAAAAAAAAAAAAAAAAAACTGCTTGGAGGTCTGCTTGGAGTGGGAAAAAAAAAATCAGTTGCTATTTCATTTTCATTCTGAGATCATGGACACTCCTCATAGCAGACACTACATTCACACAGAGCATTCTGATCATCAGTGCTTACAGTGAGAAGGGGACTTCCCATGCAAACCCCTCCGAATCCTACAATGGATGCTGTCATTTACCCTCTTCTCTGAGAACCTCAGTGAAGGTCCAGTGCACCTGAACACTTGTTATGTGCCAGCCACAAGGTCAAAATGAGTCAGGATAGGTCCCCACCAATGTGCTCCCTCCAGCAAGGAAGGCAGCCTGGCACACAGAGCCCTGACCAAGTTGGGAGAGGTCTCAGCTGGCCCAGGGGACATTGTTAGATCTGGCGGCTGTGGCCTCCTTCCGACTCCTCTGCTGGCCCTTCCCAGATCGTGTTCCTTGTTTGTCCTGCTACTCTGCCAGGTGCACTGTTCCTTCCCTGCACTAACTTATTCCTACAAATGTAAGGAATTACATTCCAGACCTTCTGCTCTACTGGCAAACTCTTTCTAGCCAGTATGTGATACGAACCCCAAAATACTTCTAGCTGGGGCTTCCAACTACAACTCCAACAGCCCGGGAGAAATCTTCATTTGGACATTTTACTGGCAGCTCAAACTTAACGTGGCCAGAGGTTCCCGGTTTCCCTCCTCTTCAGCTCTTCCCCCTACGCTGAGCCTGCAGATGCTCCTGCAGCTCTCTCAGCACCGAGACCACATATTACCCACGCGAACAAACTAAGAGTCACACTAACTGGGGCCCATCAGGGCCCCTCCTCACTCGCCTTCTCGAGCCTCTGAGGTATCTCTTCAACCAGTTTACCTCTCTTCTGCCCAGAGAACCATCTCACAGTCTACACGGGTCTGCCTGCTTTTGTCCCCCTAACAACCTGCACAGCAGTGACAGTTCTTTCTTCATCCTCTGCATCTTATCACTCTCCCTAAAAACCATCCAACACCTCACCCCCATCCCACCTCTGCTAGTCAGGGCTGCCGTTCCTACAACAATGGGCACCTTTCCCCCAGCTGTCCCCTCTACCCCTCCACCTAGGAGTACTGTTTCCATTCTCTCAACTACTGGCTCTTAGCTTTGAGATTTAGCCTCAGGCATCCTGACTTCCTGACCACTCCTCAGAACACAGATCTCATCCGCCATAACTTATCTTCTGATTGCACTTTTCAGGAATTCTCTTATTCTTTTATCGTATTTTCTGGTTTCCCTACTCCTCCAGAATAGAAGGCCCTAGACCCACAATGACAGAAACCACGGGTGGCTTCTTTCCTTCTGTATTTCCAACACAAAGCAGCTGACACACACAGATTATCTGGACTTTCCCTGGGTGGCCCTGACTTACAGATCGGCAGCCTCCCTGCAAGCCTGCTCCCTCACATTTCCCGCACACTGCAGCACCCTCGGGCACACCTGGTGCACACCTGGTGCCAGCCAGGAGGCTGGGGAAGCAGATCCACAGGAAGGAGTCCAGGCACAGAGCACGCACTAGGGCTTCCCGGTACACAGCTTGACAAGAGGGAAGGCAAACCTACGCCATAATTAAGAGGAAATATAGAGGACCAAACCACATGGTACAAGTTCCTTGAACATGCTCATGACAAAAGCAACAGAGGAGAAGGGCCTGTTAAATTATTGGGTTTTTGTTTGTTTGTCTCATTCCACAGTTGAGGCTGGCCTCAACTCATGGTGATCCTTCTGTCTCACTCTCCCTGGTGCTGGGATTACAGGTGTGGGCCACCACACCCCGCTGGGACTGTTGAATTCTAAACAGAGGGCCAGGGGTTTAGCTCAGTGGCACAAGTGCCTGCCTGGCAGGTGCAAAGTCATGAGTTCGATCCCTAGTATGTTAAAAAAAAATTCTAAACAGAGGCTCAATAATATCTTGTATAGCACTTGGGTAACATTAACTAGGGAAGAGACAGAGATATGCCAAGCATCACCAGCTCCCAAGCAGATGAGTGGGAATGGTATTTCTAGACGATTTCTGCATACGCACACAAGAGGAGGAAAGGTTCTCTACCAACAATTCAAAGCATGACATGTTAAAAATGTATATACCAGCAAAGATGCACACTCCACATTATCAAGCTCACAACTAAAAGAGCATCTGAGAGCTCATAAGGAGGTCAATCATAGAAGCATTTAATAGACAGACACACAGTGCTGGTACTAAGCATTTCCCTAAGGACCATCTCATTTATGCTGTCTATACTGACAGTTACTTTTCAGTGAGAAAGCTCAGAGAAGTGAAGTCACAAAGCCAATGTGCAGTGGAGACAAATTATCTGCACACAAATAATTTGGAACCTATGTACTCTACGATGCACTAACATTTATTCCTAAAACTTATACTTTTGATTCATTTTGATCCACTTAGTACAGTCTTGATCTCATTTAAGCAGTTACTTTCACTTATCAATTTGAGAAATCATGCTTGTATGACAAACTTTCACGTGACTCAGACACTGCAGTGACACTGATAGAATGACATACCTCTCCCTGAGAATTTCTCAATATGACCTTCACATCCTCACCAGTGCCCCAAGAGTTCTGGTTCTTCCAGATGAGGTCAGTGGGAGGACTGGCTGTGACACCAGCATTTGCAGCCCAAATCTGGAAAAGAGAAGAATCGTCAGTCTACCCAAAACCCAGCACTCTCACACCAACATGAGAACACCAACATGACAAAACTTGAACTCTATTTCTAAACATCTAAGGACCCGGCCCCGTCTTCATAATTGCTGAAGTAGCTCCCAGAGCTCTGGAGGCCTCATCTTCCCCATTTGATAAATTAACTTGCTTACACACAGGGCCTTGATACGAAGCTGCCTGCACATACATCCTAATTACTCTACTATCAATTGACCTTCATGTTCCCTTATTTTTACCATCCAAAAACGGGACAGAAATGGTACAAATACACGGGACTGTTATGAAGCACAAGGATTATCACTGTACCAAGGGGCTGGGCCAACTCAGTGAAACAAAAAAAAGATTTAGCATTCTACTGTTTTAGAGGTTTCATGGGCCATCCTTCCAGTGAAAGCCATCTGATTCCCTTCTGCAGGATCCCCCAGCTGCCGACAGTTGGAAGAGACCTTTTGCATCAGTATACCTAAACTGTTCTTAAAAAACTTTTAAATCTTCAGCCAGAAAAAGTGTCATAGTGCCCCAGGGTGTGAGACTGAAAAGAATGTAGGAAATGGGCAAGTAACCCACTGTTCAAAGAAAAACATAATTTCTTCCAAAACGTGCCAAACAAAAAATGTAATTTCCTTTCTCAACACAGAAATTCTGTTTTATTTCTAAGGTACTTATTAGCAGAAAACAATAGGAAGAGAAAACATGGCAGTCAGAAAACCTAGGTTTAACCTTGGTTTACAAGTAAACCCTGTACTGGACAGTACCTCTATGAGCCACAATTCCTAAATTACATGGCTATGTCCACCTCTGATCTTCTACCAAGACAGATTTTAGGGGCCTGTAGCAGAGGAACTGTCCCTACACCAAGCCCAGATATAGACAGCTAAGGGCTAAGGCAGGGCCTGGACATCAAATTATTACTCATAATTTTAAAGCTCACCCAAGGCCACTAGTGATTGCTGTTTAGACTCATGCTGGTGTTAAATTCCTAACAGTTCTTCAAGCCAAGCAGTATCTCCTGAATTAAACCAGGGTACCAGTTTCAGTCAAGAGACAGCTATTTATATCTACCGGAATAGACAAGATAAAAAGAATTCAAAGGTTAATTCTTTCACCACTCTCAGTAAGACAGAATTTTAAAAATCTTTGATAGCACTTGTAATGCCTTAATCATACGAAAGATGTTTTAATGTCCATTTCTAAAATGTTTCTCTGCAGGTCAAAGATTTTTTGAACTACTTTATCGGTTATTTCCAACAATAAAATTAAATAATGACTAAATCTACTTACTGTAACAGTCTGGCCTGCCTTTAGCACATATCTTGAGGTATATTTGTAACTCACGGCTGTGTCTCCAATTTTTCTGATCATCTCCCAGCCTCCCATTGGTTGATCCTATTCACAGGGCAAAATGTAACAAGGTTACTTTAAACGAAGTTAAGGAACAATTTAATACATGGGGCTTTTAAACTAAGATAGGTCTGTAACTATCTTCCTAACTTTAAACTTTTAAGAGACAATTAATTGCTTTGCAACAAAATCTGTCCTTTGTTCCCAGTATTTATGAACATCTGTCCAGATTTAGCTCTTTTACCTCAAAGTATAAAGGGTTCAAAACCAAGCTAATGATGCAGCGAGTCAGACCTAGTCGACAACTATCAACACCAGACAGCTGACAGTGCCCACATCCCAAGAGCTGCTTGACAAATGTGCAGCAGAGTAAAACAATTAGCTGCCTTCATTCATAACCAACTTGAACTCAAAGATGAAAGCAAACTAGGCCAAAGGTCAGCGCCAGCTTATTTCCACATCCAGCCACTGTGCCTCTGAGAAGCAGCAGAATAACAACAGCACAGGAGAAGCACCCTCTCCTTCCACTGGTGACCAAGAGGCCTTAGAGTCAAAACATCTTTTTACTATTGGAAATGCTGGTGCTCTTTTGCTCTTCCAAATTCTTTTTGTCTGTATTTAAGACAGCTGTAATATCTGTAAGAACAGGAGTGATTTTCACAATTCTGAGCAGACCTTAAACATACACTCCAGGAAGTAACTAACATCCCTCCCCCTGCACCACTGACCATGTTTTGTTCCAGTACTGTCTCACACTTTCAGAGCCCCAGCAAGGACCAGTAAGTTCTGGACAGCCCAAGTTCTAAACTTCAGAAATTCCTGCTATGATTATTTTATGTTCACTTTAAGCAAGTACTTCAAATAAGGCTTCATCCTATTTTGATACAAATCAAATGTAACATTCATTTGTTCATTTGGACAAAAATACTCCTATAGCATATGAGATCCCGGGCTCACAGGTCCTTCTCTCATAAAGCATTTACTAATCCCCATAAAAGAATACTCATCACTTTCACAAAATCCTTCTAATCCTTTTCACATTTATAACTGTAGAGCAGAGAGTAATACCTCACCCTTAGGAAGGCCACAGAGACAAAATGACCAAATGTGAAAAAGTCCTGGGCTGCAAAACAAAGTCCTGTGAAGAAAATCACAAGGACGCTGCACCTCTTCCTCATTCTATTTTTAACTTTTACTTTATTTCATAAATTTACATAAGGAGAAAGGGAAACTTTATTCTGCAAAAACATATTAAATCCAAATACAAGTGAGGAACTATTACAATTGCAAAAGAGGTCAGCAAACTTCAAAGCCTCGCTGATAAACAACTGAGTCTAATTACCTGTTCAGAAGTATTCTTTAAGCGAATAAACTTCCCGTCAACATCAATCTCCTCAATGCACACGTTTCCGGTGGCTGAGGCAGAATGGGAGATGCTAACGCTACTGCTGGCTTCTGACTCCTCCACATCCACTCTCTTCCGCTTCCCCCTAGTGGTGCGAACGCTGCGACTAGAGGATGCGCGGGACACAGTCACGCGGGAAGAAGGGCTTGGAGACAGCTTCAACCTACAGGGGAAAATGAAGTATTCCACGCATGACATACAGATGCTTGCCTAAAGTCTTACCTGAAGTCTTTAAAGAGTCAACATCCTGCACAGGCATTTCTAATGTCATTACTATCTCTAGACAATGGGAGAAACAGGTTAACTAAGAAGACATCTGTTAGGAATCCTTGAAGCTGGAAATTGTACACAAGTGAAGGGCTTGGGGTGGCCAGACACTTGACTTGAGAACAAAGAGAATCCTCAAAGGGCAAGATAAGGCCACAGCTGAGGACTCCTGGCTCCAACTCCTGTCTCCAAGACAGAGATTGTAGCTGCAGGCATTTCACTGCTACAGTGAAAATCAACTGGGGAATTTCTCCTAAGATAGGTCTCCTAAATTAACATAGTCTGTTACTTGGAAAAGTCCTAGTACCACTACCAGGCTCCTGTTCAGTTTCCTATGTTTTCCACTCTAACCCTTTCCTTGTTTGAAATAAATACAGGCCATCCACAGACTTTCCTTGTCTCAGTCCCCAGAGTCTTGAACTCTGCAGAGCGTTTTGATCCTCCCGGAGGCCTAAAATCATACCACTTGTCTCCATTTACTTTAAGACTGCACTATACATTTGTTTGGGAGATTAGGGATCTTGGCCAGGTCTCTGATATTTATTGATTCTAGGATGACCTCATGGATTTTGTTCTAAAATAGAGTAGCAATTTGAATGGTTTCTCTACACAGCCACCACTGTAACCATAGGTAAAATTTTAAAAATCATGGGAACTGAAAGAACCCATCTTCTCTACCACTCTTCTCTCCATATAGAGCTCACTGTTGTATTTAGTGTATTTTTCTTCTCTTCATACGTGTATTTGCTCATAGTTATAATGTGCGTAATATTAAAATTGATTAGCTTCCTAGCTTTTGCCTTCATTTTTGCTGTGCTAGAAATTAAACCCAGGGCACCTCACATGCCAGGCAAGTGCTCTACCACTGAGCCATTTCCCCACCTCTTTTCTAGGAATATGTATTAAAAGAATTTATATTTATTTTAAATCTGGTTGGCATGTAAAGTCTCTTTCAGCAAATTTGGTATTCTCCAACATATTAAACTACCAAAACATTTAAAAATCTCAAGAGCTCATCCTAACTAAACTTTAAACTAAAACTCCTTGATCAACATTTTCTGTTGCAGAAATACTACTACCTTTATACCCTGCTGTTTTAAGAAATGAGAGAAAATATTTAGGGTTGTCTTGGTTATTAAAAATTTCTTCTTTAAGGGATGGCGGTAAAAAAAGTCGGTAAGATCAGGTGACTCTTTAAGGTCTTACCTCTCTTCTTCTCCTTCTAAGAGTTTCCTGTAAGCGCTGATTTCCATGTCCAGGGCCAGTTTCACATCAAGAAGTTGTTCATAATCACTCAGCTGTTGCTGCATCTGATCCCTTATTTCAGCCATCTCTCTCTCTTTGTCAGTCAGCATGCGGCGAGAGTTGTCTCTCTCTTTAGCAAGTAAGTCCTCCAACTCTTGAATCCTTTCCAGACATGCTCTAGACTTCAGATTCAAAGAAATACATTTACTTTCTAGGCACATGGAACATTAGCATAAGGCAGCTATCTTAAACCACTTCCTAGACTGAAAAAGAGATCTATAAATCTCTGAACCACTAGAATTCAAAAACATTTTAAGACATTAATAACCAAAATTCCTAAAATATAAAACACAGCTCTTAGGAGACTTTTGCTAATACTAAATGCTAAAAATAGAAATAATCCCCAAATTAAGTTTGTGATTAAACATATAATTTTTTTCTATATTTAGCCAAATTAATTTTAAGCTATGTTTGTGGTAAATGAAAATCTGGCTTCCCTCTGAGGCTGTCCCTTTGCTGCAGGAAGATGAGTTAATTAGAAATATTACAGGCAGTGAGACAGGGCTAGGTCCTCAGAGGAGCCAGTACAGAAGCCAAGATACCTTGCAACTATCGGGGAAACAGACACTTCCTGCTGTGGGCCAGGCCTCTAGACAAAAGATCAAACAAATGCATCCATATCCTAAGGACTGATATTCTAAATAGTTCCCTAGCACTCTGAAGAAGCCAGGAGTCGCCTTCCCAACCCCCTAGGGAAGTCACTGCTACCTAAAAATGCCCACTTTCTATGTGACTCACTTCCCCATTTGTCCCTAATGTGATCAATTTTACCTGAACTATTAATCTTATTGGCTAACCATAGTTCTGTCCCACCTTATGCCTCTGCCTTGAGTTCCAAGTTTTCCCACCTTGAGCCCATCTCACTCCGTGGTTTTACTCTAAAAAAGTCCCTGGAAAAGACAGTCCTTGGCAACCCGCTAGGAACTCCTGTCTCTCTCAGACAGAAGCTTTCTGTCTCTCAACAAATATATTCTACTCTTCACCTCCATTGTTCCTAAAATTCATTCTTCGATTATAGAGAACACGGACTTGTACCGGACATAGTAGGTTGGGAGTTTCATTCCCCTATATCAACCTCAGAAGTATAAATTACTAGAGAACCTTAAACATAGGAATCCTCATTCACAAAATCAGGAGGGTAGATTGGAATTAAATTGGTGGGATTCCAATACTGTCTCAATGGGACTACAAATATAACCTTTTGAGTTGTGAGAAAAGTATTTGGATGACTGTACACAATATTTGAGATTACAATATCTGGTGTTCAACGTGACCAGAACACATGACCTTTACAGCACAAGAACCGACCATCCAGGAGACAACCACTGGACCTTGCGTGACGAATTTTAAGATAAGCAAAGCATTTTCCTAATTTTATTGCTCAGACACAAGTAGTAATTTGTATTCTAATCGCCAAGGATAACTATGGACTAAAAAATTCATTATCTACAGAAGGACTTCAGTTTATTGATTATAAAATTATTGAAAGATGCAAACATTACTGTACCACCTAAAGAGTTTTTACACTGCTCCAACAAATAGCTATGTTCTTCCTTCCTTCCCCAAAGCTGGTACACTTGATATGAGAGTGGGATAACATAGATAAAACCCTTCCTGAAGCCACAAAAAGCAAAAATAAACAACTCTACCCTGAAACTATAAGGACCTTTAATTTAGTAAAGTGGTTCTCAGGTCCTTACAAATTAGCTTAATAAAAGACAAAGACTATCATCAAAGTTACATTACAAAAGACAAACCAAAGGCTAAGGCAACTGAAGTAGCAAAAAAGAGCCCTGAAGTAACAATAGGAAGTAATTCAGATCACCACAGTAATGTGCCTTATTAGGAGTTGATGGAGATGAATGAAGCCTATTTTAAAATTGCAGAGAATCAGGGACTGGGGATTTAGCTCAGTGGCATAAGCGCCTGCCTTGCAAGCAGGCAGTCGTGAGTTTGATCCCTGGTACCCATAAAAAGGGAAAAGGCAAAAAATAAATAAAATAAATAAAATTGCAGAGAATCAAATGAGTCCACTGTTGCAAGATATTCACAAAAATATTCATAAAGAAATACAGAATCTTTCCAATGTATTTACATACTAGGCTTCACTTGCCACACCCAACTCAGAAACTGTTACTGTGATTCCTACAGGTCCACCCCTTCCCATTCCACAGAATCACCATAGCACACCTCCTGCTTCCCCATTCACAAAAAACCTCAAGTACCCTGCCATGGTCCATGCACAGCTTTGTGTTTCCCAGTAATTGAGGATAATGGGGTTCAGGCTCCTTATACCTTGGGTTGTTTAGACAACATAATTCAAGGTTTTCAAATGGTGCCAAGTGATGTGGACCCACCTAGTTCGCACATGTCTTTCACCCGCACAATTTCTATACATTTTGTATTACAATTAAGGACATTCATTTTCAGAACAAGCACAACATAATCAGGACAGTGAAGACGAAAACATTCAAGCCATAACACAGGAAACGCTGTCTGGCGTGGGACAATATGCTGTTAAAATTCAAGCACATGCCCCGCCTCTTCTTTTCAATGTAAAGAACTACTACACTGTGCATGGATTTCTGTTGCAGAAGATGGCACACCTAACCCTTTACCCAAATTTTACAAGCCCCTACAGAAGCTTACACAGTTTGTAGCTAGATTACAGGAAGCAATACATAGGCAGGTCTCTCATGGGGAGGCCACTAAAATTATCCTTCATCAGTCAGCATATGACAATTGCTAAAGACTGCAAAAGAGCTTCAGCGTCAGTCCTTCACACTAGAGATGTATCCACTTCTATTCAAACACGCCACAATATTGGAGTCACCACCCATGCTTCATAGTACAGGCTGTATCCAAACACCTTACTGATAGGTTACATGTAATTAAATGTTTTAATTATGACAAAGAAAAACATACTAGCCAAAATTATGCAGCATCTCTAAAGGCGCCAGTCCCCTTAACTACTCAGGCTGTGTCTAGTCAGTGTCTACGATGTATGAAAGGGTTTCGCTGGAAAAAACATTGTAAATCTAAGTTTCATAAGAATGGCACACTCTTGCAGAAAAATGAATCATGTGCCCAAATAAAATACCTCAATAAGAGTAAAACACCTCTGAGCCTATACTCCAATAATTCAAAACCAATTGAGACAGTTTTATCTAGTCCTAATCAGACTAGCAACAATCTCTGCTCTTAGTTTTCCTGGTCCATCGAACCAATCAGCATGTAAAATTAGATTTATTCAGGGCTCCTTACATTTGTTCTTTAAGAGTAAAAAGGCCAATTTGGTTTCCATGGAAATTGCCACTCCTGCCCTTAACCCTATAAGTAAACCTGTTAGAAATTCTTTAAGGTCTGGGGATTTAGCTCAGCGGAGTGGTTCCTGTCTGGCAAGCCTGAGGTCAGGAGTTTGGTCGCAGGTACCCAGGGGGAAAAAAACAATACAAAAAAACCCAACTTAAACTTGGGGCTGGGATTTAGCTCAGCGGCGTAAGGTTCAATCCCTGCTATCAAAAAACAAGCCTTTAAGCAAATCTTGTTTTTCCCAGGGTATTTCACGTCATATAAGTACTCAAATTAATTGACAAAATTCCTACTGCATTGCTGGTCATGAGAACTGATGTCACTTTAGTAAACAACCTATCATGGATGCATACATGGTTGCTTAGACCCACCTCCAGCCTTGCTACCTTATGCCCGCCATGACAGACAGAGGCATGTTAATGTCGCTTGTTGCACCCTCAGTTAACCAACATAAAGCTAAAATTGGATTTATGATATTTTTTAAAACCTCGGTACTTCTAGGCAAAAAAGTTGGAGATCTTATTAACATCATTAAATAAACAACAACAATGTGGACAACTCAAGCATACTATTAAAAGTAATTTTAAAAGTGCTATATATTCATTAAAACAGTTCCACTGCTTAGTGGTCCTATTACAACCTATTATAATCCCCCAAATTCATTGTCACTTGCCGATTATAATGCAGATGCTCTGGTAAATTTGGCTTCCATTTTTAATAATTCAAGACAAGCCTATAAATTTTTTCATTATATTTCTAAACTCCTATTAAAGACATTTAAAGTTACCATAACACAAGCTGGACAAATTGTGTTATCATATTTTGCCTGTAAACTAATTTCTGAGCCTGTTCCTCAACAGTTATAATCACAGAGGTTTTAAACAAGCTTAGATGTATTCCTGCCTCTATAGACACCTTTCATGCTACTTGCCATTCAGGTAATCAGAGTAAACATACATCACTGTTTAACAGCTTTTGCTAAGTTAAGGGTATCAAACTTTTTCAGTGTTTTCCTGATAACCAGAATATGAAGCATTTCACAAGGATACCCTATAACCCCAAAGGTCAGGCAATAATTGAGTACTCGTTCTAAATTAAAAGATCAATTAAACAAAAACAAGGGGGAACAGAACTCGCTTCATATATCTTGATTTTGCTACATGTTTTAAATTTTTTGAACCCTATCTCTGATTCTGAATTGCTGCTAGCAGCAACACATTGCAGGACAATTCTCTGAAGTCCTTGCACCCTGCATGGGTGTCTGGAATGGTTCCGTACCACTTTTAAATCGGAGCCAAGAATATTCTTATATTTCCATAGACTATTGGCAGACATTACAACCATCAGAGCTGTTGTGTGGCCAGAATTTCACCCACCTGCATGATGTGTCAAGACCTCAAGCAATGAACCTGACAGTGCATTGTCCACTGTCATGGGAAGACCTGCAGCAGACAGTCTGTGAGGCCTGCTATTTAGTGACCAGCCAGGGTTTGGTTCCCATCTCCTGAGAATCTTTTTCTTGCAACACTTGCTCTCCTAGCAGCTACAGTATGGTTTCTATGGTTCGGCGGGAGGAGTACTGGGCTTACATACCTCTGCTCATACATACATCCACCTCCGCTCAGACCCTTAATGTGGATGGACAAACCATCAGAAATTTTGCATTCTTAAAAAAGCCAAAATCCCACATTTACTGTTCTGCCAGGCCCTCAAATTTTCATGCACCTACACGAATGAGCTAAAGTAAATATTACCTCTCATTTTGTATATCCTTCCTTATGTGTAACTCAACTACGCAAGATTCATGTAC